TGAAATGGCGATCTCAATTTGTTCCGGCACGAATAGTCGACATGTGTGTGTAGCGCACAGCGCACACCAGAATGACCCACCGCCTGTCTTCAGTTTGGTCGGGCTTTAAAAAGAATCTCGTTAAAAATAAACATCAGACGTTTCATTACGATGTCCAAGGCGCCAAACAGGTGACACATTGTAAGCCCACTTGCATTGGCCTGATTAAAAAATTGTCTGAGAGAGGAAGAACCCCCCCCCCCTGCCATCTTGTACTAACAGTTGTAAAAACATCTTTGCCAGCCACAAACAAACGCGCGTCCTTTCTGGAACTTCTTCGCGAAACGCAAAGTTCATCCTACGTCATCGCGTCCTCTTCATGGAAGAGGCTACGGAACAAACCACAGACGAGGTTCGGGCTCAGGAAACCAAGTGCAGGCAGAAACAAACAGCAGTAACACAGATCACGCCACAAAACAGCAAACTAAATCGAGGGGGGCCCTTCTTAATCAAAACAGGACGACGAGAAACGAAAGACTCCATCGCCAGCAAATTTTATTAGAAATGTTCTAATAATTGACCTGTTTACGTGTCAACTCAAGGTCACATTTACTTCGATAAAAGTGCGCGCTATTTTTAGGTCTTCGGCAAACCCTGTGCACGACCAACGTCAGAACTGCGCAAGGTGATTAATTAGTCCCTTGTCCGAATTATGGTGCGGCGAGGGGTACGAGGGGAATTTCCTTGAAATCCTTAAATAACACATCAATTCACTTCACATCCGTTTTAAAATTATCTTTCCATCGCCTTCCGGGTCTACCAAGCAGTCACCTCCAAGAACTTGCGACACTAAATTCTGTACCACATTTTGTTCACGGTGCACAAATTTCATGTCCAACCGATCGCAACCTCTTAAAATATATCAGAACGTACAAGTAGAATTAACGAGAGACCGATCAAGCCAAACCATTAGATCCTCGATGCAAGTCGGTACAACCCACATCAGAAATATTACTAATCAACTATGCTTTATAATTTTGTCGTGTATGAACATAACTTCGTGATATCGCGACAGAAAATCTTTTTCTTAAAAGTTTTTGAACGATAATTTTGAAAGTAAATAATTCGACAACCTTTGCAATTGCAATTGGTGCTACAGACATTTTGCAAAATTTCCTGTCATGTGTAAACAGCATTATAAAATGTTTACAAAGATTTCAAAATCAATTCTGTAATATGCAAAGACTGAAAACTTGACGTGCAATTGTGAGTTTTTTACGGAACAAGCAAGACGTGGTTTTGTCTTAAAACAGAGCGCTTGATGTTGAAATGTGAAAATACAGAAGTAGCACAGTCAAAAGAATTACAGGGGCCGACTCTCACGGAGCCTTGAGCAGAGTGGGCAACGGAGGAGTGGCTGTATCCGGAGATTCTGCAACTGTACTACGGACTTTTCGTTCCTTGCCTGCAGATGTCACGACGCAAAAGCTGGAGCTGAAGGAGCGCCTGTGCCGAGAGGTGTTGCAGTTGCTGGAGACGCTCAGGGCAGGGCAGTGTCGGTTGAGGGGTACGTTTCTGTCCGAGGAAGCTCTTAATGACTACTCCACGTCGTAATAAGAGGCTTAGACATGCACGTATGGAGTTACCACATACAATTTCTGGTTTCTAAGATTTGACATTCTAATGGACTGACATGCGTGTTGTTCTGTTGGCAGGCCTGCTACTTTATGAACTTCACTGCGTGTTAATGGAGTTGAGAGCGAGGCGGGGCAGGGATTCGTCAGACGCCACTGTGCAGGTCGAGAAGGCTTTCAGATCACAGCTGCTAAGTGCTGACCAAATTCTTCATAAAATACGTACCAATACAATATAACAAAGTTAAATTTATGAATTTCAATGTCTGGTCTGTGCTGACCAAATTCTTCATAAAATATGTACCAATACAATATAACAAAATTAAATTTATGAATTTCAATGTCTGGTCTCAGTCCCGTGTGATATAAGATGGAATATTAATTAAAAAGAACAATGAATACTGTTCAGACTTACTATTACTATAGCTCGTATATCTGATGCGAGATCGAATGGCACTTCAGACAACTAATCCATTCACCAAATATTTTCTCACAAACAAACCACCAGATAAACCTAAGAGTAATCACTTTTCATTGCGACACCAACCAAAATCCACAACAGTCCCAAGAAACCATGCATGGCCAAGCGGTACTCGGTTCAACATCGCTTTATAGTAATACCGAACACGAGTTTTCATTTTTAGACTCATTATTCGTAACTGTAAATTTAACATTAACCAAACCTCAAATTCTATAAGTTAGGGAATCAGACCTGTAACTGACAAAAGGATTTAACAATAACAATTGCGTAATAATGACCACCTGTCACGCAGGCCGCCTACCTCCTAGAAAAACCGCGAATCCATGGGCCCACAAGGTGGTCCTCGCTTACTCCAGAGCATGAGAAATGTCTGCAACCTCAGAGTCCAAATAGTACAACCATGAGAACGTTGCTGCTAATTTTTTCAGGACCTTGGCAGGGAGGCGTTGGCCTGTGTGCAGGAAGCTGCTGAAATCCTGGCAGGAGACATCACAGCTCCCGTGGACATCGAACTTCGCCTGAGCACTTGCAGACGAGATGTGACAACCGCATAGTGGGGCTGGCCGACAGCTCTGGAGTGAAATTAGTTTTGTATTTAACTAGATGGCGAGAGCGCTCCCCATAGAGTTCTCTTAAAAATAAAATTGACTCAAATAAAGTAACTGCTTATTTATTACGACAATTTCACGATTTCTATTCCTTCAGCGTACCACAAGGACAGCTGAGATTCTCACGACTCTGAAGACGCAGATGTTGGAAGCTGAACGTACATCGGACACAACCTACTCGCTTTTTGTTGCTGTTAAATTATTCCGTCAGGATAAACACTGCCAATTTAATTACTCAAATACAAATGATTATATTATTATATTAATAAATCATTCTACAATTTATTTTAATTTGCAAAGGGGCGTGATTGTTATCACAGCTTTGGGTCTTGCGAGGTCTACCGTTTATCTCATCCTAGTGACAGGGTCAATTTTCTTCTTCCAAGTTTAATTCCATGTGGACTTGAAGGTAGATAATAACGTTTCGGAGCAAGACAGTGTTTCCATCTTCAGGGCTGAACCACAACATCGACATCTTCATGTTGCAGTAACACAGGTTTCGGTAAAGTGACTGCTGCTTTGACTTGTTATGGCGTAACTAATCATGAGACACCTGAATTACTGGACTACGAAAGAGTCCGGTAAAGTCTACATAGCAACTGTGAGCGTACTACACCATGACAATGATCGACTGATTGAGATCGTCACGTTTGATGGACAAACTTAAATGCCTTATGGGTTACATGGGGAATGTAAACACGGAGCAGTTTCTCAGTCGGGGGTCAGTGGACCGCTGCACGACTGCACGTGGTGCATAAGCAATCAGCGACTTGAGTAGCTCTTACAATTTTATTCTCTGATGCTGTAAATTTTAAGCATACACATGATGAAATAAGTAAATATTTCAGGCAGTCCAATTTAATCCAAATGTAACAAATAATTTTGGGGACAGGGTCCACAGTACCAGAGAGAAATAAAGAAACGATACGAAGGTCTCAAACTTAGCTCAGGGTAGGGACCAGTAGGAGGCTGTTGTGAACATGGTAATGAACCACAAACTTCTAGACGAGCTGACTGACTACAAGCTTCTCAAGCAAGACTGCTCCATACAGTTACATACATAATTAGATTATATGAGAATAAAAAATACGAACATTGAAGATTTCAGCAATGGTGGAAAATTTCAAGTTGAACCCTGACCTAAAGGAAGCAGAAATATACAACTTTCGTTGACTGCAGTGAGTAATTACTTTGGTTCTAAGACTAAATTATCTCAACCGTGAACAAAACAAAACAATTAGAATAAAGCTGCTTCAGACAACTGATGGTGTCGTGTTCCAGTGAATGAGTCAGTCCGAGTCTTCAAGCAAAGTGTCTGCTGGCTTTGCATAAAATAAAAATAAAAACCTGCCAAACATGTAAGCACGAACCACAACATTGTTCTTTCTTCCTACCATTTTCCTGTCCGCACCTCCACATAAAACACCAAAGCAGGTAAGGCATCATATTAGCAAAATAAATCTGCCAACGTCACAAAATGTCACTGACTGGACGTAATATTACTGAAAACACAGGAATGAAGCAAGAAATCGACTTTAAAATTTCATAGAAGGAAAGCAGTTGGAAAATCTAGGAACAGATAAAAGCAGGTATTGCCTGGTTACAAAACATCAATGCATCTCTGCTCCATGGAGACAGATAAAACAGATGGAAGCAGGTATTGCCTGGTTAGAAAACATCGATGCATCTCTGCTCCATGGAGACAGATACAATTATGTGCAGCAAGGATTGTGACGATGGATCATTATTCTGTGATAAAGTATTTTTCTTCTGATTAATTCAACCACAGACTCAGCTCAAAGCATCATGGTGGAGCTGCCACTGCACGAGAGCCAGTGCACAGGGGCGCCCCTTGACTCTGCTCATCGAATTTACTTGGGTGTGTCCCTGATAGTTCTGGGTAAGTGATTTCAGAGTTTGTTCACTCAAACACTTTTTGGCCAAAATACCGTCAAATTCACAAAGCACACTCTCCTTATCAGCCCAAGTAGTTGAGTCAACTACGCGCTGGATGACCACAGTTCGATTCCCTCACTAGTTCTGGCACTCGCCCAGTTTTATTCTTGGGGGGGTAAGTGGCTGGACCATGAAGCTGAATATTCACAAGATTAAGAATGCATGGAGCTTTACCTCCATTGTGTCACACATTTTCATACTTTCAAAAAGAACACTTGAAGACAGAACCTGCTTTTATTACAGGGACTGTTGGCGTTGCTGCCAATGGTTGGCTGGTGAGAGGGTCCCTCACCAGTCCACTGCTAACCATGAAGACACACCTACTGATGCTGAATCTAGCGATCACTTGCTTGGGTCGTGGGCTCCTGGCAGGGTTTCCCTTTGCCGGCTCCTCGACGCTAGCCGGCAGGTTCGTGGCGGGATGTAGTGGTATACATGTCGGTGCCACGATTGCAACAAGCTGCTGGTTCTCGTGTTTGAGACCTTGTGCCATATATCCGTGAAAATGACGTGGCACAGAATTAAAGTTGGCCATTTATGCAGAACCGCCTCCCAAACTATTTTCCCTTGCCAGAAAATTTCTGCCTGTCGTTCACATCAAACTGATGCGTGTCATCATCTTCAAAGAATGTCTTTGTTTCATGGGTGACTCTTTGCACCTTCATTTAGAGTTTTGCAAATGTTTTCTGTGGTAAAGAGCAGAAAACATAGTTTGTAGAACTGTTTCTGTCAATCCTTCGAAGCTTGCAGAAATAAACACCTTTTAAAAATTCAATGAAAGTTCTGGACACAAAAAAACTGTAGCAGATCAAAGTTTGGTTCTCCTCAGCCACTCTGCTGTATATTCTTTTGTTTTGTAGGTGGCTGTTTGGTAAAGAATGCTGCCAGTTCTTTGCATTCCTCCTTCAATTCTTCGGTATGTCTCAGGTTGCTGCGATCACAATATTGGCAGTTGAGCGTGCAGTGGTGGCGCGTCACTCTGGTGAGTACCGAAGCCTGTACGCGGTTACCAAAAATACTGTCTCCATCTTCAGAAAAAGCTTCATAATGCTTGATTTATGCCAATCATCACAACCATTACATTAATAAAATTGAGGAGGATAAGATTTGTGACACAGAGGACTACGGCGTGAATAAACAGATTACATTTTTTTTACACAATTTTATAAAAAATGAAACCGAAGAAAAGAGACCATTTGGAAATGAGGACAGTATTTGGATGAATGTTAAGAAATGTGGTCTAAAGATGTAAACGGGATGGGTGTGGCTCAGGATAAGGACTGATGATTGGTTCTTGTATACAAAGTACTAAACCTTCAATTTGTTGCTCTTGGTTTTGTTGTTGTTGTCACTTATTATTATTGTTGTTGTTATTGCAGAAACCTTCTTATCCATGCAGCAGTATGTGACGGGAATACTGTTATGCTGGATTTCTGCTGCAGTATGGGCGACACCACCACTTCTAGGCTGGGGAAGGTCTCTCTCTGTTCTGAATCAGTTCACTACCTTAATAGTTCTGCTGAGGGTATTACTCCTCCATTGGCACCAAAACAACCACATTTACAAAACTCAAAATTGTTTCATAAAACTATTTTCACTATGTTTCTGTTTTGATAGTTTCAAGAGGATGATTTCAATGATAAACAACCATATTGTCATTTTGGCAGTATACAGTACAGAAATTGATATTTTCACTAGCATTATGACTTTTGTAATGGCAATGATCATTATTATTACTGTTATTTACGAACCATCTTCGCCGTGTTTCATGTGTCCCTGGAAGCAGATACGGCTGTGACCCAACCGCGATGTCTTGCAGTCTGGAGTGGAGTCCGAACACAGACTTCTCTAGCTCTGTTTACAACATCTGTCTGCTTACTCTTGGAGGGGCTCTCTCTGCAACAATTATGTAAGTGCAGTTACGAAACAATGCCTTAATAGTCCAAATAATTATTCAACGACAAACTGGCAGTCAACCCAGCTCTCCACTTTCAAGCTAGTTACGAAACAATGCCTTAATAGCCCAAATAATTATTCAACGACAAACTGCCAGTCAACCCAGCTCTCCACTTTCAAGCTACTGAATGATCTTCACAGCCATTTGTATTACTACGACACTCAAAACGCTGAAATTTCATACAGGAAATATCACCATACGATTCACACGAATAAAAAACTGTGGACCATAGAGACATTCTACTCCAAGCAGTTAATTAGTTCTATTAAAATTCTGTCAGCTTACTGAACCTGGTGAAAGTTTGCTGGGCCCTCAGTTCATGTGAATGTTGCCAATTTTCCTAGAGTATATACCACGAATACAGGAATGGATATTTTGATGTTCAGGTGTGTATCTGTGTGGTGCGCTGTAAGCTCTGAGGGGAAAAGATCCTTGCAGAGTGCCGGTACGGACATTGACTGCCCAAGTCAGCGTGTTCTTACAAAGGTCAGTATGGAATCAGTGTAAATATTTGCTGGAGAAACATCTGATAAAAATTATGATTTACATAGGATTGCCAAATTAATCTGGAGCAGGTATCAGCACTTTCAGAAACATCTTTCAATTCCGATAAAAATTCCATGACAGACAGCCGAACGCGTGTGAATACGAAGTGTTCCTTCCATTTGTAAAATAAAATATATCTCAAGATACACATAGAATATCAAAATGTGGTTATCAGTAAAATATTCAGCAGTGAATACAATTTTCTCATGTTATAAATTAGAATCAGGCAAAAGCATAATGCAGAATACAAAGTAAGTGAGTTCTCCTTGATGATTACAGTCATTAATCACTCTTGCACTGTAGGTTGGAAATAATGCATTAACATTTATAAATTTCACTTCAAATATTTTTCAGTTCTTGTATAACATAAAATGACAAATATTCCTAAGCATCGTGATATGAACGTATACAGAGTAGTGGAGGTGAAGCTCCAAGCAAAGAAAACCTGGCATCCATTGGACAGGCCATGTCCCAATAAGGAATTGAACCCAGGAGTCCAGCAATCATGGCTCACCTGTCTTTTGTCTACGTAACGAAGCCCATATATGAAAACTGAACCAAAATCATAATTGCCCTTACATACCCTTTCATACAAATACATTCAGCTGTTTTGAGTGGGAATACGCAGGACAATGAGAAGGTACCTACAAATTCTGTGCAGGGCACAGGCTCAAAAATTATTTTTCACTGTATTTTGATAAATAATCAAACTTTTCTACAGCTTGAAAGTGTCATATTTTATGTCATGTACCAGCAGACAGTAAACTTGCTCTAATATTTTGGAGACATTAATTTTCCACTGCCACTTAGACGGTGGGGGTGCTCGTACCAGGACTGTGTCTGATGTGGCTCCCACAGACTCTGCTGATTTTCTGGGTTGTGACAGGAACCCCACTGCCCACTGCGCTGGCCATCATAGCTGCAGTGAGTTCGGAGGTACGTACGAAAACCCTAAGACTACATTTCCTTCCAGAAAGAAGGCAATGAACAGATTCATATGACTACATACATGCAGCACGAAACGCAACTAACAAAGCACATCGTTTGCTCTTTATGATCTATGCACCATACTGTATCACAATAAGACTTGAGGTTCTTATGGTGGTGAAGATGTCCACAGCGTTCTTCTGGGTTTCCATATTTTAGACTTATACGTGGATATCTTCAGCCCTGAAGATGGAGGCAATGTTTTCCTCCACAACTCTGGTGCCACTTGCAAGTTCACATGTCATCACAAGCCAAGAAAATCACCAGAGACAATACAGCCTTGTATTTATTTCTATTACATGCTTCTAATGCTAATATCTACCACACGAGATCGTTAAGGCATAAAATACAAAATAAATAAAGACACAAATTTGTGTTTACAATACACGGTCATGAAATTTATATAAATTTGAGAACAACGTACTTAGACAACATGTGTACTCTTTGATACACACCTTTCTACAACTATCAGCATATATAAATCTTGCGACTATGATCTGAACCTCGGAGAGCAAGTCATTACACTTTCCAAATGTGATTCCTCATTCCTTCTACTTGTGTTCTTTGCTTTTCCTTTCAGGCATCTGCAGTTGTTCCCATATTGGCCTGCTTGGCATGTGATAAAAACATGCGCAAGGCTCTTTTTGGCATTCTTGGAACATCCACATCTTCAACTGGGAAGCAGGACAACTTTTTAGGAGACGATGCAATATAATGGACAACAAACAAGAATATATGAAGCCCCTACTGCACACATCAGAATTAGACTGATGACCACACAAAAAGCCTTTTATATAATTAATCAATAATTTTCTTTTGCCTTCAGCAGTATATTCTGCCAAAATATGTAAATATTTAAACTGTTGTTGTACCGAGTATTTCGCATAATGTGTGTCTTACAAACAAAATTCACTCTTGTTTGTAACATGTTAAATAAACTTCACAGGCAATTTTAAACTGTAATAGCAATGCCAAGATGATGTGATTGGTTGCTCATTGATACTGAATTCAAATGGACTACCCACTTAAACTGTGTGCATTGTTAGTTCAACAAAATGTCCAGAGTCATTCACGCTTGCTTCAGAACATTGGAAAATTAGTTGCCTTCTCAGCAGTTGTCTTGCTGCACAAGGGGGAAAATCAGAAAGTAAATTTACAACAGGAAAAAACCCATACGTGCTCGACGATGTTTTAACTGTTTGTAAGTCCGGAAGAAATAAAGTGTTACAAATTATATAAACACAAACAAATTTTTCAATGTTTGAAAAATTATAGGGGGTGCTGCAGCTCTTATGGACGGGCTACCACTGTTTCTCACGTCTTATAAATTATCAACCTTCACTCATCGATATTGCAGGGCTGTGCACCCTCTTCAAATTAACTTTTATTGCGAAATAAAATCTCTCTAGTTCCCATAAACCTAGTTACACACTCCTGCATTAACCGCGTTACGTGTAGTGGTGTGTGGTTCATTAGGTCTACTTAAATCTCAGATTCTCCGAAAGTAAGCGAAATTTTAGAACCCCAACTCATATTCCTCCCTCTTTCAAACCCACTTGTAAAATAAAATCAAAATAAATGACATCAAAACTCACCTTGAACAATTTCCCACCGTACGGCAATGGTGCACAATTTTCTTCGTGCATTCTTCAAAAAGTATAAGGCTCACTTAACGAAAATGCTTGCAGTAACGTATCTAAACGAAACTCAGCTTCTTTTTCAGACATGATAATGTGAAACATTTGCATTTTCTGTTCAATTATTCACTGTAATAAACAACACGCAATGACACAAAATCTTCCGCAGCGCGCCGACATATGAATACGACCCGATTGGTTAAAAATTATATGACGTCACCCTACAGCCATCTGTAACTCGACCGGTAAAAACGCTTACTACTAGTTCACAGACACCTCGTGGTGGGTTTCATGGGTCATGTACAAACAGTTTGTATTCTAAAATTGCAGTCATTTGTCCTAATATGAAGATTCAAGTAATGGTAAACTGTAGCTCCTCAACACCCGACAAAGAAATATGTAATTCATTAAAATAAGTTGCATCTCTAGGCTGCAGGAATCATTTCTGTAAAATAATTAAAACCTGACAGCACGATAAACTGCACAAAAACTATTATAAAGAATTCCCATTATTCCACAAAATAATCTGGAAATGTATTAATGTAAACTAGAATACCAGAGACAATGAACTCACTTCTTTCTTCCACCCATAATAATCTGGCCACTTTCATGTGCAAAATGAAATAAATGCAGTAATAATTTACATTTAAGATTCTGTTACTTAATACATGTAATAACCACGTGACTCACCTGTTCAGTACACAACTGACGAAAGCAGCCGACAGGCATTCTTCTGTTGTGGGTCGGGAGCAGTTACAATAAATTGTATGACAGAACAGTCTCTTGTCATTCATGTGCGCATTTGATCATCATAAAGAAAGCTGAAAATTTTGGGAAAGGTAAACAGGTAAATAAAATAAAATAAAAGAAACATATCCCAACATGGCACTGACAATGAAATAGTATTAATTAGGTGGAGGACATGGTTTGATGCAGTGATGTATCATGCCAAAAAAATTCATTCTCTCAAACATGTGATGCAATAATGAATACCAAAAAAGAGAAGGATTTGTTCAAGACAATCTAAGGATGTTTGAATGTATTATGGGGGAGGAAAAAAATCTTTAAGTTTCAAGATTTATAATTAAAAGTTTGCTGGTATAAACCTCAAATGTACAAATACAAATTGGATGCACCAGCATCTGCAAACCTCTGCCCACATGGATCACTTTTACGCTTTATTGTTCTGCTCTAACTAGGAAATAGATATATGATAATGTAAACAGATGGATGCCGTACGTCAACATCGCAAGTGATCGGAAGCACCATTCTATTCTTGTTATTATGTACAATAACTGAGATGTGTTTTCAAAACATCAATGAACATTTTAAAATTGTTACTGAAACAGACGTTTCACAGTAAAAGTGTGGCACTGACAGCCCTAATCAAAAACAGCATCAGTCTTACAGCGCAGAAGGCACACGACACATCACAACAGCACGAAATCTTTACACAATAGAGCTCATAAATGAAAGCAAAGCAAAGGAACACTAATTTATGTATACACATGGAACAGTGGGTCAAAGCCCATAAAAAGCCACATAAAGTAACACAAAGAATTGTTCCCAAAATTCTGCAGTATCGAGACAGAAGGTCACTGGCACCGTTGTCTGTCTCTTCCTACCAACTTACATGATGGAGCGTACTTTTCGTACTTCCTGCTTCTACATGTGTACACACAACTCTTACAAAGCACTGAAATAGTCCCACTTTACAGCCTGGAATAATAGTCAAAATCCTAAAAAATATAAATAGAGGTGGCAATTTTGAGTAAATACAAAACATACAGAAAAATATTTTCTGGAACGGATAAACAAACTCAGTAGCAACTTTCAGTAAAGTTAAGCTTGAAATGTAAGTCTGCTAAAAACCAAAACAATCCTAAAACTGCATTACCAGTTAACCATTTAATTTCATTTAAAAATCAACCATCTGTGCCATTTGGTTAGTGTTTTTCTACGATGTGTTCCATAGATCTCTCCAGTACGAACCTCACATTTATCACATGGACAAAGGCTACACTTTAGAAAATGGAAATTAGAATTAAATTATCCAAATGGCAAGAGGTTTCTAAGGTGGCTAAGATCCCCGACTCCCCCGACAGGTCGGTACAGGAAGTTCGACTTGCGGGGAGACCATCACATTTATAAGAAGCAAGTTAAAAATGTGCCACCAGATGTGTAATAACACGATAAATGAGACAGGCATGATGATCCAGATTTAGATTAAGATTTATAAAGAAATGTGAAAAATGGAGTTTGAGATTTGAATTGTTATAAGACACACACAGCTAGCCAGTCGTATTGAAGGGAACTTTAATCAATGGATTCACTCCATTTTCATTTCAAGTTTCTGCCTGATATTCTGTCATCCTTATTGCCTAATTTAAAGGACTTTGCATTTCCAATTAATTCAGCCACACAACAGGCAATAGGCTAAAATAGCAGTGGTACGAAAACTATAAAAATGGGGGGGGGGGGGGG